AATCATCCTCATCCATCACCCTGGCCAACCCCCCCCCCCACACACACACTCGTCCGGCCTCCCTTCCTCCCCCAGACAACAGCTGCTCTATAAACTGCCATCACATCACATTCAATGGAAACAACAGACCGTTAAAGTAGAAATGAGAGCACTTTAATCAGTAAAACAACTTCATTTAGTTTCTATCAAACCAAATTAAAGTGACTAAAGAACCAAACGAATTAATATTTACGAGTGAGTCAACCTACCAATAATTCTGGACCGGGATCGAACATCGGCTGCTGAGCTCGGTTGTGTCGCCCACTAACGACAGATACAGTTACCAGCAGCTAATTAGCGATTAGCTACTTTAGCTAAAGCTATCTGTCCATCAGGAAAGTAGTGCTAGCTAGCTAATGTAGCTATAAAGTAGGTCTTTGTGCAGTACTCAGTGAGGCCATAGATTGTCTCTAACAGCCCTCAGAAACACTACATTCCGGCGGCGTCAGAAGAGAGAAAGCGTTTGATTGGACGCAGCATTAGTATACGCCCCCAAGTGCAGGATGAGTCATCAAATACTTTTATTATCAGGAAACTCTAAAATACCTTTAAGAACACCTGAAAATACCTGAAACAGGAATTCCTGTCCCTGTTGGACAGAAACTGGAGGACATATAGAGACAGAGGAGATAAAAACACTGAAACATTTCTGATTGTTTTATATTTGTTCTCAATATACTTTCTGAAATATCTAGAATATTAATACATGTTCATATTTGAGTGCACTAATCTGAGCAGCCTGGATGAGACGGTATTAAGAGACACTGGAGGAACCAGATTCACAGGTTTAATGCTTCCTGTCAAATCCAAACTGACCGACATTGTAAACCTGCAACAAGAGAACAGATGTTAGTCAGCGGTCCTATCAGTGAGCTGTGTGGAGGCCTCGGGCCGGGCCGGGTTGCGGACCCGGGACCACTGATGGGGGGAGAGCGCTAACAGTACGTGCCTTTGTGAGGAGAATTGTTTTTAAAAGCAGAGGCAGGAGAGGCGGGGGGTGCGGCCTAAAGATTAAAAGCGGACATTTGTTTTGTGTATGTCGAACTCTGCCAAGACGCTGCAATTTTCTATGAATCTAAAGCAGCTTTCCTGGCTCGGACCCCACACGCTGCCCGCTGCCAGGAAAAGACTTTTTTTCTTGTACCTGTTTACACGCAGGTAGAGTAGCTTTCACATGAGAGCTTTCTTTCCAGACGAGTGCTGCACAAGGTGGGCATCGGAGGGGGGGAAAGGTAGTCCGATCACTGACACTCCTCCTTTTGTTCTGTACAATCCTTTCTGAACTTTGTGTTCCTGAACAGACTCCAACCAGAGCAGCTCATAAACTGGAAGGAACTTGACTAATTTGCAGACAAACTGGGGGAAAACTACACCCATGATTCTCCCTGGCACCGGTCATTCAGCATCAGTGTTTTTATGCACCAAACGATGAGCTGGAAGGAACAATGGATTCTGTTTATGATCCCTAATGAATGAAAAAAGGTTGGTTGCATCATCACATCCAGACTGTGTTGGCACTGGGCGTATGCAGCGAATAATGTGTTCATTGTGTGCGTTTCATGTTCGTACAGTGACCTTTACAGTGGAGCTGCTATTTCTGGGTAAAAATCAAGGATGCATCAATAGACTGAGATCATTGAGTAAATTTGAAACACAGTGAGACTCCACTCAGCAGCTGACTGTTACATACAGTAGGGAAGCCCTGGTTAATATATATAGAACAACGTCACTGCCTTCAGAAGGACCACGCCCACTTTTACCTGAAACCAGCTGGAGAACTGGAACGGATCCTAAAAGCTGCTGAGCCACGCTGTGCTAACGTTACTCTAACCGCTCTGGTTGACCCAGACATTGTTAAAGCTTCAGTCAACAGATTCATGGCTTTAGAACCGGTGGTGGTACCTTTAGATCAATCCTGGAGTCCTCGTACCAATGGAGACGCAGCCAGTACATACGCTATATATAAATATATAAATATATATAACATATCTCCTCTCAACTCTGGGAACTTCAGACATAATCAATCAGCTATTGTTTAAGCTAAGAAAGTCTTTGTGTGCTTTAAACTGGAAAAAGTGTAAGTAACATTAATCACAGTCTGTTGTTTCAGGACTCATAAATCTACAAACATGTGACATGTTGATGCCACATTTTCCCCACAAATGATTTCCACACAGATCAGTTCGGGGTCCTGGCTGACAGATAAGACCCTCTGAGTGCGAGTGGGGCTGGTTTTCTCTCAGAGATCTGGTTTTAATTGTCAGAGGCGACAGCTGGAACACATTGCTGATATTTCAACACGTGTCAGTCAGAGCAGCGAGGGGAATGGCGCTGCTGCCCGCAGTGTTTGTCTGACTTACTGTTGTCTGCTCTTTAGGACGGACGCTCCCATGTGTGGAGGTTAACTAAGGAAACTCAATGTGTGGATTTATTATCTGATTACTTCTATAACTATTCTGATGCCATGTTTTTTCTAACGAAACAGGATTTACTGATGAAAACTGACAGTTTGTGTGCTGATTCTGCTACTGCCCGTTTCTTTATATTCAATTCAATTCAATTCAGTTTTATTTGTATAGCGCCAATTCATAACAGAAGTTATGTCAGGACACTTTTCAAATAGATCAGGTCTAGACCGAACTCTTTAAAACATTATTTACAGAGACCCAACAGTACCACCATGAGCAAGACCTTGGCGACAAGGGCAAGGAAAAACTGCCTGTTAAAAGGCAGAAACCTAGGACAGATCCTCCGGCTCTAGGTGGGTGGTCGTCTGTCTCGACCAGTTGGGGTGAGAGAGAGAGAGAGAGAGAGAGAGAGAGAGAGAGAGGTGCACAGCAACAACAGTATTGGCAATGGCAATCTAGCAGGACCATGGCAGGAGGCTCCACCAGGATCGATAAGAACCTGCGAGTCATACAACCAGTGGGAGGTGTTCTTTAAATCAATAATCAATAATCAGTGTATAAACTCTAGAGCTATGTGGTTGATGTTTGTAGATTTAATGATGCTTCCTGTGCAGGTTAATTAACTTCAGGAAGAGTTGAACTGTGTTTGGAGGTTAATGGATGTAGCCGGAGAGTTTACAGGATTAGCTCTTAATCTGAACATGATCACATTAGATCACATTAGATTCCTGTAATTAATGATCTGTGTGGGAGAGCATGAGATCAGCAGCAGCAGATGGAAATTAAAGCTGATAACCATTCGTTAGCACTAAGAGCTAACGACAGCTTTACAGAGCAGCTAATGTGCATCATGAATGCTTCACATGGTCTGATGTTCACATGGTGGAGTAATAATCTGAATGTCAGAGGCTGCAGAGGACGTCACAGCTGGAGGTAGATCACGTCTATAGAACTCTATTAATTATGAACTTTATTAATTAACTATCAACTTCATGAATTAACGATTAACTTTATTAATTAACAATTTACTTTATTAATTTACTTAATTTATCCCAGATGGGGAAATTTTTTCCAGTTAGGAGCAGTTAGGGGTTCGGTCGGAGCAGTTAGGGGTTCAGTTGCTCAGAGGCACCTCAGCAGTGTCCAGGAGGAGTCGCGGGGGCGCAACAGGGGGCGCTGCACAACAACATGGACAATATGACATGCCCACTTTGGTTCCCAAGAACAACGTGATATTTTTTGGTTCCTTTTCGGGTTCAGAAGCAGTTTTTTTTTGGTTGAAGTGCTTCAAGGATTGTGAACGTACGTAAAGATGTTAGAAACTTTCAGTGTGAACACTTTCTGGTGTTTATATATAAATCTGGTTTGGTTGAGCTGCCTACAGTCTCTGTGTGGAGGTGGTTTATTGTCCTGTTTTCATGCTGCAGGTCCACACACGTCTCAACCTTTCAGGGTTCAACCTGCCAGACCTCATCACCTCCGATCAGATCTTTTGTCCGGAGGCCGAGCGTTATACCTGAGACAGACCATCTGACTGCAATGGGCGTATAAAGGCCGGCAATGGCTCAGAGCCAAAGCAGCTGTCACTGCGCGTCACACAGCTTCACGCAGGAAATCCCTCCGAGTCATAAAGTCTGATAGGAACCACACAGCAGATCATTATGTTATTTATACACTTTTACATTTAACTCATAAATAAGGATCATTCATTTAGCATTCTCCTACATTATATTTAGTAAATCAGGAAGGACTGATGAGTCAACCCAGACATTGTTATTCCATATTGTGTCCCTAAAATCTGCACAACCTCAGCTAAAAGGTTTTATAAGTCAATAAACAATGAAAAAAACTATTGAAACTGAGTCACAAAGATTGGACCTGATTTTTTAAAGACTTATGGATATAAACAAACAACAAACAAAATATAAATGTTTTTTGTTGTTTTTGAGAACTGTACAACTCACCCCTTCAAATTAACATTAATGATTAAAGTTATCTATAATTAAGGGCGTGGCCGCTTTGAGTGACAGGTGCTGTTGATTTAATTTTGCGTGTCTATGGAGGCATTGAAAGACGTATCAAATATTGTTTATTTATATTGTACCGAAGTTTATAATTCTTGAGATAACTTCTGTTATGAATTGGTGCTATACAAATAAAATTGAATTGAAATTGAATTGGTGTTGTGACAACGTTACAGTAATTTTGGTGCTAATCACTCCTCATAGATCTTCCAGCTGTGGACTCGACATATTTGTTTTTGTTTTGTTTAGATTTTTTCTTTGTTGTTGTTGTTGTTTGTTTCATCCTTTAAGCATGAATAAACTTACTGTGGCTTCAGTGAATTATTAAAGAGCAGACTGGTGATCAGTGAACGTACAGTATTTTTGGCATTAACGGACCCCCGTACTCCAGCACCTCGCTGTGTGCTGCTCGAGTGCCACCTTCCTGCCTGTTACTGTCTGACTGCTGGTGGGCTGAGACATCCTGGAGGCCCTCCTCTTTGTTCATAAGTCCTCCCCTTCCTTCGCCTCTGACCTCCTCAGGCAGCATGCAGCAGACGACCTGCAGAGGCACAGAGATCTGCAGCAGCACAGAGACCTGCAGCAGCGCAGCCTCTGTCCAACGCCGGCTGCCATCACTCTCACCTTTGACTGCAGGACACCTGGACAACTGCTGGAGCTGCATCTGGACTTAAAGGAGTTTTTAAACTGAGGAGCTAAAAACTCAAGATCTGGATGTCTTCTGGCTTTGTTCCCTTGAGGTGTCTTCACCTGGATTGTGTCTCCTGAGTGTTTGTGTCAGACTGGAACATTAAGAACTTCAAAAACAGGACATCAGTGAATATCTTTCTGTAGCTTTGTGTTTTCCTCGGTGTGGAGCGACTGCTGTGGAGAGTAAGTTTCCTGTTAAGTGCTCTGTTGGTTTGTTTGATTCCAGCTCTGTTGGGGTCGGACTGTTTCTGCTGCGTCCCGTCTGCAGGGTGTGAGGTTGAAGAGAGAAAGTTTAGAGGTGGATGATGCATTCTCCGCTCTTTGTTTCTTTACAGAAGGATGTTCTGCTCCAGGAGAGTCCTGCAGCAGTGGCTCTTCGCTCTGTTCCTGCTCTGCTCTCCGGTGCCGCACTACGGACGGCCGATCGATGCCCTCAGCAACAGAATGTGAGTTTGTATTTGAGTACTTTTAAATCTCAGGACAGCTGAAAGTGGAACAAACTCCCAGATCATCTTTTTTTCCGTTATTTGTTTCTTTTCATTTATTTCCAGCTCCCCGCCAACACGGTGGGCGAGCAGAGGCTGGAAAATGTTCCTCTGTGAGACTGTGTGGTTAGCCCTCGCCCACCTGTGTGTTTATCTAAAGCACTTCTCCTTCAGGGACTCTTTCTATCATCTATTGATCAGTATCAATAACAGCTGATCAACTGATCAATGAACCCAGTAAACACAATAACTGCAGGAAGTTTGATTATTTCCTGTGAATATTGATCAGAGATATCGATCCATTCTGTATTCTGTATTTTTATCATTTTAACTGTCACACTTAATATTCTTCTTTCTGACAGATTCACTGATTATTCTCATTGATCTATCAGCTGATTGCTTTCTGATGCAGGACAAAGCTGTTGATCAGAGACTCAAGCTCTGTCACTGTACACTCTGATCAATAATAATAATATTAATATTAATAATAATTTACACTTTAAAAACAACAGTTTACTTTAGTTTTTGCACAAAAGTGAACCAAACACTGAGCTATAGGGCCACAGTGAGGGCCACAGTGAGGGCCACAGTGAGGGCCCCGACGCCCAGGTTGGGAACCAGCAGTCTGGAGCAGAAAGCGCTGGCAGTCAGAGGCTCGTTGCTCTTTATCTGACAGTTTGAGGGTTGTTGGTGTCTGTAGACAAACGCTGTGTGAAGTTGGGAAGTGAATAACGCTGATGTTCGATTCGGCTGCTGACCAAAACAAACCTGCTGAGGCCAAACAGAATAAATGTTCTTTAAAGTCACTGAGAGCGTTGGAAAAGTGAACCAGAGGGAAGAAGCTCTAATCTCAGTCAGATTACCTGATGAATGAAGGCTCTGAGCTGGAGGTTGGTGGCAGTAGTTGGAGGTTTGGAGCTGAAGGAGAGGTTTGAAGTGAGTGTCATGCAGCAGTTTCCACACTCGGACTGTTGAGCTTACGTCAGGGGGAAACAGAGCTGCACCCCATCAGTGATATGCACTAAATGGGGTTTTGGGACGAGGTTAATGCCACCTGAGTGGAAAGGACAACAGGAGTGTGATGAAAACCGTGAGGTAAAACTCCCACAGCAGTGGAAGCTACTGACCTCTGACCCTTCGTCATCTGCTGCCTTCCATCAGTTTTATACTGAAACAGTCAACAATCGAGCATTTTTCTAACACGAACAGCAACGATTAGTCGATTACTTCATTGGTAGATCGAACGATAAGAAAAAAATAGAAATATATATATTTTTTTATAGAAATATATATATTATAAAACAATATCAAATCACCATATTTTGTTTGGTGATTTCGATTCTCACAGATCGACTTTTGTAAACTGATGTTTGATGTTACAGGAACTTTTTTAACTGGTTTCCTAAAATTGTATTTGAAAAAATAGATATGGAATTGTAACGTATTGATTAATAACCTCTGTGTGCTCAGATACTGTGAAGTTCTTAAAATCCAGTCAACACAAGATAATCAGATTATTCAGTGATTGAATTAGTAGATTAAAAGAAAGTCAATGAACTTAAGGATTGTAAGAAAATATCAAAAATATATCGTATTGTGATATCGATCAATGCAAACGCCTATACGACTGTAAAAGATTTGATTTAAAAAATAAATTGCAAACTAAAATAAAAAAATAAAATATCTATGATTTGATTTATCGTGAAAGGTTTCATATCTGCAGATTATTTTACAGTGATGGATATTGTTCAGTAAAAATAATCTTTAAGTTGCAGCTCTGTGGATAAACACCAAAGTCTTGAGGAATTTACACATTTTTCTTCTCAACTAAAAGAATCCAAAATCCTTAAATAAAATAGTTTAAAAATGTCCAAATATGGATGAAATCCAGCAGCTGAGCAGAGAAACTGAGTTTGATTCTGACTTTGAGCCAACGTTCAGTTGTTGTTTCTCTCCTCAGATCTGTACTTTGAATAGTTTTAGGAGCTTAAAGGAGGTGAAAGTTTGTTGCACTGACCACAGTTTTCTTACTTCCAGTCAGATTAGTCATTATGTGATCCTGTTTGGGCCTCCTGATGAGAACCGCCCTGTTACAGTAACCAGGTCTGAACTAATATCAACACATGTGTTCATCATCCGTCTGGGCTGGGATCTGAGTCTGGGTATCTGAGTCTGGGTATCTGAGTCTGGATATCTAAGGCTGGGTCTCTGTGTCTGGGTATCTGAGTCTGGGTATCTGAGGCTGGGTATCTGAGGCTGGGTATCTGAGGCTGGGTATCTGAGGCTGGGCGTCTGAGGCTGGGTATCTGAGGCTGGGTGTCTGAGGCTGGAAGTGGGTATTTGAGGGTGGAAGTGGGTATCTGAGGCTGGAAGTGGGTATCTGAGGGTGGTAGTGGGTATCTGAGGGTGGGAGTGGGTAACTGAGGCTGGAAGTGGGTATCTGAGGGTGGTATTGGGTATCTGAGAGTGGGAGTGGGTATCTGAGGCTGGAAGTGGGTATCTGAGGGTAGGAGTGGGTATCTGAGGCTGGAAGTCGGTATCTGAGTGCTGATGGTGTGAGAGGAACAATTAGGATGAGGAGGAAGTTGGAGCACTGCCACCTCAGGATGTATCAGGGCCTGTTTCCTGTGAGCGTTACTAAAGGTAAAAACAGAACCAGATCAGCTTTCAAAGACAGAGGTTTTCTCTTTAGGCTGCGATTTACAGGAAATATCTGTATGCATATAAACAAAAGCTGCTCTCAGGGGTTCCTCTGTGTGCAGGAAACTATTATTATTCAGCAGAAACACACACAGAGAAACATCATGTCAGCTTTGGGTCTTTTTCTGGTTTGATGCTGTAAAACCTCCATACTGATCTGAAAGCCCTGCAGATACCACCTCTGCACAGGGAGGAGGAGCAGGGCATCATGGGAAAGCTCTGACAGCTCTAATCAGCCGCCGCTATCTGCCGTTGAAGCCGGCGTGTTTGTGTGCTCAGACACCTGAAGTGTTTGGCCGGCGTTGGCGCTCGGCAGTTCCCAGGCTTCGAGCCGTGGCCTCTGTTTGTGTAAGAGTTCAGACTCTGAGTAACGCTACACCGCAAAGCAAAGCAAAGCCTGAATCTTTGTGCTGCTCCGAGTCGGAAAGATAACAGAGTCAGGACTGATCTCTTCTGCTGCTGCTGCCTCCAGTTCTGTGTTTTTATTACGAGAGCCTTTCTCTTTGTTTTCATCATGTTTCTCTAAAACGCAACAAATTTCTATGAAGTTTGGTGTGAACTTCATCCACTGTGTCTTCTTGAGTTTTCTGTGCAGAGAGCTCCACCTTGTGGTCACTTTGTGTCAGAGCAGCAGTCAGGAGTCAGAGCGGAGGTTGATTCGGTAAACTGACTGTATTTACTGTATACTTCATATTGATCAGGATCAATAATATATCAATAACAGCAGAGAACAGCTGATAAACAGTGAACACACAGTGTCTGTATTCTGTATTTTTATCATTTTAACAATCAGACTTAATATTCTTCTTTCTGACAGATTCACTGTTTATTCTCATTGTTCTATCAGCTGATTGCTTTCTGATGCAGGATGAGGCTGAAGCTCTGGCAGTGTACATGTACTGCGGTCAATAATAATAATGATAATAACTATAATAATATAGACTGATTAATAATATTTATAATACACTGAGGTATTGGCCAACTGTACTTTTAAAGAGTTTTGCACAGATTGTGTCAGTGTGAATATTTAATGTTTGTTGTTAATGAGCCTGATTGCTTCCTGTAGCCACACTTTGGTGGGCGTGGCCGCTGATTGGGGCAGGGCTCCATATCTCAGGGGTTAGAGTGCTGGTCTTGTAAACCAGGGGTCGAGAGTTAAAATCTCGCTTGGGCCTTGAAGTCTTTTCGAAGTTCAGTCAGAGATCAATAAAGTTATTGCTTCCCAACGTTTCTCCTGACTCAGTGAGAGCAGCTTTATTATATAAAATTGAAACTTTGAGGCCCCCGTAGTGTCTTATGATGTTTCACCTGTAGGTGGCGCTGCAGGCACGCCATAGATAAGGAAGGTGTAACAGCTCGAAACTGTTAGAAATCTCAATGAGGTTTGGTGTGAAGCTGTGTTTCTTTTAGATGCTGGTTGTTCTGTAACCACCAATAAGGGCTCAGATTGTTTGCACTGTATTTTCAGGTGTTGTGGGCAGAGCCAACCAGGTGAGGTAGCTCAGGGGTTAGACCACTGGTCTTGTAAACCAGGGGTTGTGAGTTCAAATCTCTCTGTGGCCTTCTGCAGTTTTAGGAAATATGTATTATTACAGACTCTCACACATCAAAATAATGAACCTGACAGAGTGCTTGATGATATTTGATCTGTAGGTGGCGCTGCAGCAGAGTGATTAATGGGCTTTGTGGACTTGAGCTTGTTATGGTCTGACAGGATTTCTCTGAAACAGCAGCCTGGTTTTCTGTGAGGTCAGTTTGACAGAGTTCAGCTCTGTGTCATTCTCATTTCTTTAAATTTTGGCGCATTTGTGGAACCGTTTTTATCCCTCGCAGTCCAGCTGCCATGAATCTGTCAGTTAACATCCACATTAATGGAAAGTGAAGAGCCAGAGGATTTTCTTTGCTCACGAGTGCCACGATCCTATTAATGAACAATCAAAAGAAAAGAGTTATTTTCCTGTGAGCAGAGAACTGGACCTCCTCGTGCAGGGTGGAGATCTCTGGTATCAGTTTAACAACCCTGGAAACAGACTGCGGTTCCATGAATCATCTCACTGCTCCATGCTACAGGGATTAGAACAAATCTGCTGGTCCCTCATTATTTTGCTCATGCTGCCCTCTGCTGGTGAACTGAGTGAACGTCATTACAGTGAAATAAAATGAAACATTAACACAATTAAAGGATGTATGGATGGAACTTGTACAGCATCTTTCTACTCTTTCAACCACTCAATGTACACTACACGCCACACTCACCTATCTGCACACATTCATACTCTGATGTACGCTGTAGGTGCTCATCAGAAACTGAGCATTCAAACCAGCAACCTTCTGATTATTCGCTCTACCTGTACACAGCCGCCCAACAATACAATCAGTCAACTAGCAGCTCAAAAATATTGAAGTCACAACATTTCAAAAATCTTCAATGAAGTTTGGTGCAGAGGTTTTGTTGTTAATGAGACATTTACTTTATGTTTTTACACACTTTAATTAATTAAAAGTGAACTTCTTATTCTTCTTTAGGACTACTTTCTCTCTACAGAAAGTAAAAGTACTATTTGTATGTATTTAACAGCTAATTTAAAGAAATATTCTGTGATTTCTTGCAGAAAACGGTCAGTGACTCACGCTCAGCTGATGCACGACAAAGGCCGGGCGCTGCAGGACTTTAAACGTCGCATGTGGCTGCAGGAGCTTTTGGATGAAGTCCACACAGCAGAGATACGTGACCTCCCGGTGCAGACCACCGGTGGAGGCGGCAGCAGCAGCGGCGTCGGGCTGCCGGGGGTCAGCCTGGGTATCAACCTGAGCACCACCGGCAGCACCCTGCACTCCAAACCCCCCGGAGGGACCAAGAACCTCCCCATCAGCTTCAGGCTGGAGGAAGAGGAGGGCACCAACCTGCCACAGGAGACCAACAAGTCTCAGACGTACAAAGACGGCGTGCTGAAAGCGCCCGGGAAGAAGAAGAAGAAAGGGAGGTCCGGGAAGAGGCGGGAAGGAGAGAAGAGGAAGAGGAGGGCGCGTTCGTTGGGGTGGAGGATGGAGGAAGAAGTGGGAAATGGACTCCACCTGGAGTGGAGGTCTCTGCTCGGCCTGCAGAGGGCGCTGCTTTAAAACGCTGTCAGTCTCTGACAAAGGTGAGTCCATCAGAGACGTGTTTAATAAACAGTTCTGGTGGGAAATAGTGAATCTGAAGTAGTAAAATATGAAATAAGAAGTATCTTGAATCAATGTAAACTCGCTCAGGTTGATCAAACTCACAAACTTTAAGATAAAAGAAGATTTTATGGCATCGACAACCTTTGAAACTCTTGTTTTACACAGTGTAATGTTCATACAGGTCCTGTACGTTTTTCAGATTAAAATGATGATTATCAGCATTATGGACAACTACAGAGATACCTTTAGTTTAACCACCCAACCTACAGTTATGAGTTCTCATGAGTAGGATTACTGTAACTTAAATAACTTCTGTATTGAGAATTAAAACCATTAATTACAGTGTGTTTAATGCTGATGCTTCTGTACATGTTAAGACATAAAAACCAAAATAAAAGCACTGACCTGAGCTGTTTGTCTCTCTTTGTGTTTCAGAAACCTACGGACAGTTGGACTGGACTCCTAAATTCTCATGTTACAGTATTCTGTAGTCGTGATTGTTTGGAAAGAAATTGGAAAATATTTATTGTCTGTAAATATTCTAAATATAGCAGAATAAATAGCAGAATATGACAAAAAAAAACTTATTTGATGCTCTGTGAGGCAACAGATTTTAATCTTTGTGAATCCTTGCTTTTTCCTGTTTTTATTCCAAATATGTCAGATTTTTTTTGCGGTAATTTATTTTGTCTGAATGGTGTATTTATTTTGTAAATGTATCGAGGTGCTGCTGACCTTCTATATTTTTGTACCATATTGCACTTTAGATATATAAATATAAATATATATACCATTAATTTTGTTCATTGTTCATGTGGTTGATTGAAATGAAGAAAAAACGACGGTCGTCACTCTGTGTTATTTGTCAGTTTGATTTTGGACTTTTCGCTCTGTTCAGTTTTTTGTTTCTTTGCTGCTGTTTGTTCGGATGTTTTCGACTCTGATCGAAGCTGTTTGTTGTCTCACTTTTGTCTTCGACCCTCCTGCTGCCTTCAGTGTCTCTGTTTCCTGCACGGCCCGCTCTGCTTCTCAATGCCAAAGTTCATATTTGTACATAAACCAAACACGGCTCAATATTGTTGTTTTTGGCACTTGCACTGAGATAAACACCCTGTACTGAACGGATTAAACATTTGACAGTATCCTGTGTCTTTGATGTCATTTTGTCCTGTTAATTTAATTCAATTCAATTCAATTTTATTTGTATAGCGCCAATTCATAACAGAAGTTATCTCAGGACACTTTCCAAATAGAGCAGGTGTAGACCGAACTCCTTATAACATTATTTACAGAGACCCAACAGTACCACCACGAGCAAGCACTTGGCGACAAGGGCAAGGAAAAACTGCCTGTTAAAAGGCAGAAACCTAGGACAGATCCTTTGGCTCTAGGTGGCTGGTCGTCTGTCTCAACCAGTTGGGGTGAAAGAGAGAGAGAGACAGAGAGAGAGAGACAGACAGACAGATAGACAGACACACAGACAGACAGACAGACAGGTGCACAGCAACGACAGTAGCAACAACTACAGGAATAGTAGTGACTGATGATGATGAACATGACAACAGCAACGATGGGGGACAATGAGCAGTGACAACAGCAACAACAGTAACCGTAGCTATAATAACAGAAATAATATTAATAACACTAATATCAGTGATATTGGCAATTGTAGTCAAGCAGGACCATGGCAGGAGGCTCCACCAGGATCCATGAGAACCTGTGAGACGAGAAAGCACAAGAACTCTGGGGAAAAAGTGAAGTTAGTAACATGCTTTAACCCTTTAGGCGTCAGGTTTTATTTTTAAAAATACTAGATTTTGACATCTAAATTTCAGAAGGCTCTGGCTTGAAAGTGGTTTGAGATAGAGACAAAGTGTAAATGAGACAAATATTGAGAATGACCTAAAGTTTATCTAGGGAGTAGATTTCCCCATCTAATCTGCATATTATGACGTCATATGGCAACAGCCATATTGGATTATATAATTTCCATGAAATACCTGATATTTTGAAAGAGAGTTGAACTTATTTCATCAGATTCACCCCCCTCCATCTATTTGTTATGTTGTCCACATATCAAATTAACAGGTAAAAGTAAATTGTAAGCCAGCAGTCGTAAACTAGAACTATTACTACCACAAAACTCATGTAAACAGTAGGTGTTTTTTATGATTTTATGATTGTCAACTTTTTGCTTGCCATTTTCGTTTATTTCGTCTCAATAACTCCTAAATCCAGCAATACCGCTTCAACATAAATAGCGCCGTGGCACACTATTTCCTGTTTCTCACCCAACAGTTTGGACGGGACTTCCTCGAACATTTTGCATTGAAACATGACGTTTTTCTGAGCTAAGGTCTAAGTACAGGATGTCTGCCAACTAGTGGAGGGGAGTATGAACGACATACAGTGGGTACGGAAAGTATTCAGACCCCTTTAAAATTTTCACTCTTTGTTTCATTGCAGCCATTTGCTAAAATCAAAAAAGTTCATTTTATTTCTCATTAATGTACACTCAGCACCCTATCTTGACAGAAAAAAACAGAAATGTAGAAATTTCTGCAAATTTATTAAAAAAGAAAAACTGAAATATCACATGGTCATAAGTATTCAGACCCTTTGCTGTGACACTCATATTTAACTCACATGCTGTCCATTTCTTCTGATCCTCCTTGAGATGGTCCTGCTCCTTCATTGGAGTCTAGCTGTGTTTAATTAAACTGATTGGACTTGATTAGGAAAGGCCCACACCTGTCTATATAAGACCTTACAGCTCACAGTGCATGTCAGAGCAAATGAGAATCATGAGGTCGAAGGAAATGCCCAAGGAGCTCAGAGACAGAATTGTGGCAAGGCACAGATCTGGCCAAGGTTACAAAAGAATTTCTGCAGCACTCAAGGTTCCTAAGAGCACAGTGGTCTCCATAATCCTTAAATGGAAGAAGTTTGGGACGACCAGAACTCTTCCTAGACCTGGCCGTCCAGCCAAACTGAGCAATCGTGGGAGAAGAGCCTTGGTGAGAGAGGTAAAGAAGAACCGAAAGATCACTGTGGCTGAGCTCCAGAGATGCAGTAGGGAGATGGGAGAAAGGTCCACAAAGTCAACTATCACTGCAGCCCTGCACCAGTCGGGGCTTTATGGCAGAGTGGCCCGACGGAAGCCTCTCCTCAGTGCAAGACATATGAAAGCCCGCATAGAGTTTGCCAAAAAACACATGAAGGACTCCCAGACTATGAGAAATAAGATTCTCTGGTCTGATGAGACCAAGATTGAACTTTTGGCGTTAATTCTAAGCAGTATGTGTGGAGAAAACCAGGCACTGCTCATCACCTGCCCAATACAATCCCAACAGTGAAACATGGTGGTGGCAGCATCAGGCTATGGGGATGTTTTTCAGCTGCAGGGACAGGACGACTGGTTGCAATTGAAGGAAAGATGAATGCGGCCAAGTACAGAGATATCCTGGAAGAAAACCTCGTCCAGAGTGCTCAGGACCTCAGACTGGGCCGAAGGTTCACCTTCCAACAAGACAATAACCCTAAGCACACAGCTAAAATAACAAAGGAGTGGCTTCGGAACAACTCTGTGACCATTCTTGACTGGCCCAGCCAGAGCCCTGACCTAAACCCAATTGAGCATCTCTGGAGAGATCTGAAAATGGCTGTCCACCAACGTTCACCATCCAACCTGACAGAACTGGAGAGGATCTGCAAGGAAGAATGGCAGAGGATCCCCAAATCCAGGTGTGAAAAACTTGTTGCATCATTCCCAAGAAGACTCATGGCTGTAGTAGCTCAAAAGGGTGCTTCTACTTAATACTGAGCAAAGGGTCTGAATACTTATGACCATGTGATATTTCAGTTTTTCTTTTTTAATAAATTTGCAAAAATTTCTACATTTCTGTTTTTTTCTGTCAAGATGGGGTGCTGAGTGTACATTAATGAGAAATAAAATGAACTTTTTTGATTTTAGCAAATGGCTGCAATGAAACAAAGAGTGAAAAATTTAAAGGGGTCTGAATACTTTCCATACCCACTGTATAACACTCTATTAGGAGAAAACAGCTGTTTGATTCAGTACCACGTCCTGTCGCAATTTTGCGACTTTGGCGCTTAAAGGGTTAATGGGACATGAATGAGTGCAGAAAGAGAGAGGAAGAGAGGAGCTCAGTGCACCATGGGAAATCCCCCGATAGTCTAGGCCTATAGCAGCATAACTAAGGGATGGTTCAGGACTCACCTGATCCAGCCCTAACTATAAGCTTTATCAAAGAGGAACGTCTTAAGCCTACTCTTGAATGCGGAGAGGGTGTCTGCCTCCCGAACCACAACTGGAAGCTGGTTCCACAGGAGAGGAGCTTGGTAACTGAAGGCTCTGGCTCCTGTTCTACTTTTAGAGACTATAGGAACCACAAGTAGCCCAGCATTCAGAGAACGTAGTGTTCTAGAGGGGTAATAGGGTACTATGAGCTCTTTAAGATATGAAGGGGCCTGACCATGAAGAGCTTTATAGGTGAGGAGGAGGATTTTAAATTCTATTCTACATTTTACAGGGAGCCAATGCAGAGAAGCTAGTACAGGAGAGATGTGATCTCTTTTTCTAGTTCCTGTCAGTACTCGTGCTGCAGCGTTCTGAATTAATTGGAGCGTTTTAATGGACTTATTGGGGCAACCTGATAATAAAGAGTTGCAGTAATCCAGCCTAGAAGTAACAAATGCATGGATTAGTCTGCATCTGTCTGTGATAGGATGTGTCTAATTTTTGTAATATTAAGTAAATGACAGAAGGCAGTCCTAGAGGTTTGCTTTATGTGGGAATTAAATGACAAATCCTGATCAAAGGTAACTCCAAGATTCCTGACAGTGGTGCTAGAGGCCAAGTTAATGCCATCTAGAGTAACTATATCTTTAGACAGTGAGTCTCTAAGGTTTTTGGGGCCAAGTACAAGAATTTTATTTTTTTCTGAGTTTAACATCAGAAAATTGCAGCTCATCCAGGATTTTATGTCCTTAAGACATGTTTGTAATTTAGATAATTGATTAATTTCATTGGGCTTGATCGATAGATATAACTGCGTATCATCTGCATAACAGTGAAAGTTAATGGAGTGATTCCTAATAATGTTGCCTAAAGGGAGCATATATAAAGTAAATAGTATTGGTCCAAGTACAGAACCTTGTGGAACTCCATGACTAACTGTTGTATTTATTGAAGCTTCATCGTTAACATGTACAAACTGAGAACGATCTGATAAATATGACTTAAACCAGCTTAGTGCGGTTCCTTTAATGCCAATTTGATGCTCAAGTCTCTGTAAAAGAATATCATGGTCAATGGTGTCAAATGCAGCACTAAGATCTAATAATACAAGTACAGAGACAAGTCCATTGTCTGAAGCAGTCAAAAGGTCATTATTAACTTTAACCAGAGCTGTCTCTGTGCTGTGATGAACTCTAAATCCTGACTGAAAATCCTCAAATAAACTATTGTTATGTAGAAAGTCACACAACTGTTTGGCGACTACGTTCTCCAGAATCTTAGAGAGGAAGGGGAGGTTAGAGATTGGTCTATAGCTGGCTAAAACCCCTGGGTCAAGAGTGGACTTTTTAAGAAGGGGTTTAATTACAGCTACTTTAAAGGACTGTGGTACATATCCTGATAACAAAGAAAGATTAATCATTAATTTTCTCTCTAATAGTAATAATTTTATTATAGAAGAAGCTCATGAAGTCATTGCTACTTAAGTTTATGGGGATATGTGGCTCAATAGAGCTGTGACTCTCTGTCAGCCTGGCTACAGTGCTGAAGAGGAACCTAGGGTTGTTCTTATTTTCTTCTATTATTGATCATAAACTCACAGTAGTAGTAATTTTACATCAGAAACCTCGTCTGAAGTGGCGTAACAAATGATTTATAAAGTCCTCATCTGTAGCTCTGCTTTGTGGTGTGCCCCCAGGCTCTATCCTTGGTCCTCTTTATTTGCAGATGATATTTATTACATCTCGTTCAAGCCCCAAAATATTTTTTAAATAGTCTGTTTTCAATAAAGTCCTGAAAATGAATGACAGATTGTTTCATTGTAAGTGGTGGAATAACTGAAATAACTAAAAACTACATGAATTTATTTCATCTATCAGAAGTAGCTAACAACAATTAGTCGATTTACTTTATTTAATCTGAAAACTATTTTGATATAATTGATTAGTTATTATAAAGTTACATGTTTGTATAAGAGCAACATTCAGCGTTGTTGTTATCAGTTGATATCAGTTGGTAAAGCTAACAATGGCTAGTGGCTAACCTGGCTTGGTTGTACTGGAACTCAGGTGTGATGACATTCCCAGATGTCAGAAGTCTGAGGTAAATGAACGGACCAAAAGTCCAGGAAAGCAGGAAGTTGACCGAGGCTTGCTCAACTGCTATTGGAGCACAGAGAAAAAAGGGGCGGGGCTTAGAAAGGGTGTCTGCTAGATGAAAAATAAAACAAATGAAAACATTTACAATAACCGGTCATAAAAACAACAACAAATACAAACAAACAGACAGACTGACAGTGAGACAGGCTGGCAGTGAGACAGACTGACAGTGAGACAGACTGGTAAAGAGAAACAGACTCATGGAATCAGCCCTTTGGTTCACGTTGAGCTAGTTGTGGAGTCAGTCTGCTCTCATCAGGCTGAGTCATGGTGGTTCAGAAACAAGTTTCCACTGAACAAGAAAAAGTAAAAGTTGGACTGAAACACATTTCCAACAGAGTGAAAAACATCACTCAGCAGGGTGACTGATGCCACTGCATCATTCTGCATCAGTCATCTGTGGAGTTAATACATTTAATAACCCGTCACACTGTAACAGAGCAACAACACATACAAATTACAAACTTAATACACTAAATATTTGTGGTTATATAGAACACCCAGTCTTATTTTTTTATTATTAACTAAAATGAGCTTATTTTCACTGGTGGACAATTGCCCCCTCCTGGTGCCCCCATGTTCATAAACAGTGCCCTCTTGGATGTCCATAACAATAAAATGACCTCTAGGGTTCCCTTCCAGTGGAGAAAACACCATAAAATGACCTCTAGAGTTCCCTTCCAGTGGGGAAAACGTAATAAAGTTCCTGTGTGTTAAAGTATCGTGGGATTACTTTCATTCTGAAGTTATGCAGAGCAACGTTTAACAGCAGCGAGGCGCCAGAGGGAACCCAGAATGCTGCTGTGTAACATCAGGACACACATGAAGCGTGGATTCGACCTATTTGGCTAATTCTGGTGGAATAAAGGTTTTTTTAAAGATGTCTTTCGGTGCACAGAGTGAAACTAGCTCCAACCCACCACCATATTTCTTCCTCTGCAGGTTTTCACCGCTCCTTCAGTCTGTCCAATTAACGTCTAATCAACATCAGCTGCCCACCAGGAAATTGTCCCCATCAGCTGAAAACTCATTTCAAAGCCTGTGGAGCTTTTTTTAACTTCTGGACATTCGGCAGGAAAGAAAATTACAGCTTTCCACTCAATAGAGCAAAAGTGTCAACAAATTGCCGTCGCTCATCATAAATTCCATCCAGAATTCAATTAGGGATGATCAACAGCTCCAGGCTGCAGAACCAGGCCAGAGGGATTTGGCCTTTCTACGAGCCATTAAAATAATTCCCACCGCTGCGGCTTCACAACATGACAAGTTTGATTTGGCAGCAGGTCGGCTAGCTGAGAGACGGCGAGCAGAAAGAGGCAAACGGCGCTGTGGATGGTGTTGATGTTGTGATTCAGTTCAGCAGCACAGACACAATTCTTCAATATCCAACCGAGCCGAACCAAACCAGAACCTCCTCAACCAGAATGGATAAGGTCTGGGTTAGGGTGTGTATTTATTTAAATGTATTTATATGTCGTTCTGACTCAAACTGACTCTAAAGCTTCAGCTCTGACCTGCTGCTGTGGATGAATATTGACAGTACAAAGATTATAACATTATCTTTAAATAATGGAAACATTTTCCAGCAGGAAAACTCTCAGAAAGTCTTTTCTTGTTCAGATGACAAAGAAACTTAAAACCAACAGAAAACATTTGGCTTCGTTTCCAGTCTGGCTTTAAATCAAAGCTTCAATAATCACCAAACTAAACTGAAGCGACATTTCAAAGTGATCCCAGACTGCCGGAGGAACCTGGTTCCTGCAGTGTCAGAGATCATTAACACTGTTGTAGATTCACTGTTGGTCTCTGAGAGGAATTCAGTTTATCTGGAGGGAAGAAATGAGACAATTACAGCGTCAAACCGTTTTATTGTTACAACCAAATCTGAACAGCTGGAGTCCAAGGTCCAGATGTGCAGTAAAGGACTCACAACTCTGCCTCCATAAAGCCTCGACAGGGAGGTTTCATTGTGTTGGTGCCCCCTGTGGACAGCAGTGGTACTGTTTCACTGATTGTTTCAGTGCGTCTGAGAATAAACAGTCAAATGTTTTATGATTATCTGTATATGTAATGTTTTATATTAATATTACTGATGCATTAATGTATATCTAATGTTTTATATTTATATTACTAATGCATTACATTTGTATCTGATCAGATCTGATTAGTACCTCGCTGTGGCCAGCAGGTGGCAGCATTCAACCACTGACAACAAGCTGTTAACAGCTGTTATTCAGGTATTTACTTAATCACATTCATTTTTATTGATTAATAGATTATTGATTTCTTGATAAACAAACATTTGGAAGAATTACAACCACAGAGGTCAGAATCAAACTGAATAAATAAAATATAAATAAATGATATATTTGACCGGTGGTTGTAATGAGTGAACTGACCTGAGGGGGCGGTAAAGAGCAGCACGTCTTGAGTTCTACCGGAATTCAACAGCCGAAGAAGAAGCTGCAGTCGGTCCACGTGAGTTCAGGATGTCTCCACCGGGAGGAAAAATCAACCGACCGAAAACCGTAAGAAACCCTTTAGTTCCGTTCATCATTAACTACATCTGATCAGACTGATAATCAATAATATTATAGATTCATTATCCATATACAGCGGACCGTCAGCAGCTAGCAACTAGTAGCTAGCAGCTAGCATATGTAAACACCGTCGCTGCAGTTCTTCTTCTTCCTGTTTATTTACTGCTTTTATTATTGTTTACTGCTCTTATATAAAGTAAAAGTACACAAATAATATCTGCATGTAGTAAAAGTAAACAACAATATCTGCATGTAGTAAAAGTAAACAACAATATCTGCATGTAGTAAAAGTAAACAACAATATCTGTATGTAGTAAAAGTAAACAACAATATCTGTATGTAGTAAAAGTAAACAACAATATCTGTATGTAGTAAAAGTAAACAACAATATCTGTATGTAGTAAAAGTAAACAACAATATCTGTATGTAGTAAAAGTAAACAACAATATCTGCATGTAGTAAAAGTAAACAACAATATCTGCATGTAATAAAAGTAAACAACAATATCTGTATGTAGTAAAAGTAAACAATATCTGTATGTAGTAAAAGTAAACAATATCTTCTTCATGTAGTAAAAGTAAACAATATCTTCTTCATGTAGTAAAAGTAAACAACAATATCTGTATGTAGTAAAAGTAAACAACAATATCTGTATGTAGTAAAAGTAAACAACAATATCTGTATGTAGTAAAAGTAAACAACAATATCTGCATGTAGTAAAAGTAAACAATAATATCTGCATGTAGTAAAAGTAAACAATATCTGTATGTAATAAAAGTAAACAACAATATCTGTATGTAGTAAAAGTAAACAATATCTTCTTCATGTAGTAAAAGTAAACAATATCTTCTTCATGTAGTAAAAGTAAACAATATCTTCTTCATGTAGTAAAAGTAAACAACAATATCTGTATGTAGTAAAAGTAAACAACAATACCTGTATGTAGTAAAAGTAAACAATATCTGTATGTAGTAAAAGTAAACAACAATATCTGTATGTAGTAAAAGTAAACAACAATATCTGTATGTAGTAAAAGTAAACAACAATATCTGTATGTAGTAAAAGTAAACAATATCTGTATGTAGTAAAAGTAAACAACAATATCTGTATGTAGTAAAAGTAAACAATATTTGCTCCATGTAGTAAAAGTAAACAATATCTGTATGTAATAAAAGTAAACAACAATATCTGTATGTAGTAAAAGTAAACAATAGCTTCTTCATGTAGTAAAAGTAAACAATAGCTTCTTCATGTAGTAAAAGTAAACAACAATATCTGTATGTAGTAAAAGTAAACAACAATATCTGTATGTAGTAAAAGTAAACAATAATATCTGTATGTAGTAAAAGTAAACAACAATATCTGTATGTAGTAAAAGTAAACAACAATATCTGTATGTAGTAAAAGTAAACAACAATATCTGTATGTAGTAAAAGTAAACAATATCTGCTCCATGTAGTAAAAGTAAACAATATCTGTATGTAGTAAAAGTAAACAATATCTGTATGTAGTAAAAGTAAACAACAATATCTGTATGTAGTAAAGGTAAACAATATCTGTATGTAATAAAAGTAAACAATATCTGTATGTAGTAAAAGTAAACAATATCTGTATGTAGTAAAAGTAAACAACAATATCTGTATGTAGTAAAAGTAAACAATATCTGCTCCATGTAGTAAAAGTAAACAATATCTGTATGTAGTAAAAGTAAACAATATCTGTATGTAGTAAAAGTAAACAACAATATCTGCATGTAGTAAAAGTAAACAACAATATCTGCATGTAATAAAAGTAAACAACAATATCTGTATGTAGTAAAAGTAAACAACAATATCTGTATGTAGTAAAAGTAAACAACAATATCTGTATGTAGTAAAAGTAAACAACAATATCTGTATGTAGTAAAAGTAAACAACAATATCTGTATGTAGTAAAAGTAAACAACAATATCTGTATGTAGTAAAAGTAAACAATATCTGTATGTAGTAAAAGTAAACAACAATATCTATATGTAGTAAAAGTAAACAATATTTGCTCCATGTAGTAAAAGTAAACAATATCTGTATGTAATAAAAGTAAACAACAATATCTGTATGTAGTAAAAGTAAACAATAATATCTGTATGTAGTAAAAGTAAACAACAATATCTGTATGTAGTAAAAGTAAACAACAATATCTGTATGTAGTAAAAGTAAACAACAATATCTGTATGTAGTAAAAGTAAACAATATCTGCTCCATGTAGTAAAAGTAAACAATATCTGTATGTAGTAAAAGTAAACAATATCTGTATGTAGTAAAAGTAAACAACAATATCTGTATGTAGTAAAAGTAAACAATATCTGTATGTAATAAAAGTAAACAATATCTGTATGTAGTAAAGGTAAACAATATCTGTATGTAGTAAAAGTAAACAACAATATCTGTATGTAGTAAAAGTAAACAATATCTGCTCCATGTAGTAAAAGTAAACAATATCTGCTCCATGTAGTAAAAGTAAACAATATCTGTATGTAGTAAAAGTAAACAACAATATCTGTATGTAGTAAAAGTAAACAACAATATCTGTATGTAGTAAAAGTAAACAATATCTGTATGTAGTAAAAGTAAACAATAATATCTGTATGTAGTAAAAGTAAACAATATCTGCTCCATGTAGTAAAAGTAAACAATATCTGCTCCATGTAGTAAAAGTAAACAATATCTGTATGTAGTAAAAGTAAACAGCAATATCTGTATGTAGTAAAAGTAAACAATATCTGTATGTAGTAAAAGTAAACAACAATATCTTCTTCATGTAGTAAAAGTAAACAACAATATCTTCTTCATGTAGTAAAAGTAAACAATAATATCTGCTTCATGTAGTAAAAGTAAACAATAATATCTGTATGTAGTAAAAGTAAACAATATCTTCTTCATGTAGTAAAAGTAAACAACAATATCTGTATGTAGTAAAAGTAAACAACAATATCTGCTTCATGTAGTAAATGTAAACAATAATATCTGCTTCATGTAGTAAATGTAAACAATAATATCTGTATGTAGTAAAAGTTAATGTAATCAATATTAATGTATTAATTAATGCATTTATTATTAATGCATTAATAATGGTGTAATGTAACACAGACAGTAGTATTATGAACACATTAATAAGTGCGCCCCCTGCTGGTCTGTGCTCTCAGTGTGTTTTGTCGCCGCCCTGCAGGAACTGAGGAAGAAGTGTTATTGTGAATACATGAATAATGATGTAATGTACTACAGAGGCAGTGTTATTATGAATACTTAATTAATAGTTATTAATGATGAATGTATGAATGATGAATGTATTAACGATTAATGTATGAATGATGAATGTATGAACGTTGAATGTATGAATGATGACTGTATGAATGAATGAATGTATGAATGACGAATGTATGAATGATGAATGTATTAATGATGACTATGAATGAATGTATTAACGTTGAATGTATGAATGATGAATGTATGAACGATGAATGTATGAATGAATGTATGAATGATGAATGTATGAATGATGGCTATGAATGAATGTATGAATGATGAATGTATGAACGTTGAATGTATGAATGATGACTGTATGAATGATGACTGAATGAATGTATTAATGATGACTGTATGAATGAATGTATAATGATGACTGTATTAACAAATGTATGAATGATGACTGTATGAATGATGAATGTATGAATGAATGATGAATGTATTAACGTTGAATGTATTAATGATGAATGTATGAATTAATGTATTAATGATGAATGTATGAATGATGAATGTATGAACGTTGAATGTATGTATGATGAATGTATTAATGATGAATGTATTAACGAATGTATGAATGATGACTATGAATGAATGTATGAATGATGACTATGAATGAATGTATTAACGATGACTGTTTTAACGTTGAATGTATTAACGATGAATGTATGAATGATGACTATGAATGATGACTATGAATGAATGTATGAATGATGAATGTATTAACGAATGTATTAACGTTGAATGTATGAATGATGAATGTATGAACGATGAATGTATGAATGAATGTATGAATGATGAATGTATGAATGATGACTATGAATGAATGTATTAATGATGACTATGAATGAATGTATAATGATGACTGTATGAATGATGAATGTATGAATGAATGATGAATGTATTAACGTTGAATGTATTAATGATGAATGTATGAATTAATGTATTAATGATGAATGTATGAATGATGAATGTATGAATGATGAATGTATGAACGTTGAATGTATGAATGATGAATGTATTAATGATGAATGTATGAGTGAATGTATGAATGATGACTGTATGAATGATGAATGTATTAACGAATGTATTAACGTTGAATGTATTAACGATGACTGTATGAATGATGACTATGAATGAATGTATTAACGTTGAATGTATGAATGAATGTATGAATGATGACTGTATGAATGATGACTATGAATGAATGTATCAATGATGAATGTATTAATGATGAATGTATTAACGAATGTA